GGTTGACCTAGCTAAGAGTCAGCGTATCCTCTGCTTCTCTATGAAAATCGATACCACCAGTAATTTTGCTTTTCACGCGTACCTTAGAAGCACTGTGTGGGTTTCTAATTACTTAGGTGTGGTTTGACGCCTTCCCTAGTCTTCTCCAGTCCTAGCTTCACCAGTTTCCATTTTCTTCAGGCTTCTTTCCAAGAACTCTTGCTGCCTCTCTGCCTAGGTTGCATGTTGCCGAGTCCTGGCTGGCTGGCTCTAAATGCACTTACTCCTGAGTTACTGAGAGCCGCTGCCGTTCCTGCGCGAGCTAGCCCTCCTCATTACTGGGCCTTGCCTAGTGATGGGATGGGATATTGTCATAGCCTAAAGCTCAAGCAGTGGAAGTAGTTATATTATAAAAGCATCAATGATTCTGTCTCCTGCTACTTTCTGCCTAAGGTGTGGTGGAAAGGATGTGGAGCTGATGAAACTCAGGAAACGGATTTTAACACTCACCTCACCACTCACTGTGCATTCTTGAACAGTCCCCTTTCTTTATATCATAATTTCTTTATATCTAAAAATAAGGGTGGGCCAGTTATAAAATCCAGCATAAAAATGCACTTAGTCATTAGTAGATTTAATTCTTAATCACTTGTTTTTTCTCTTTTTGGAGAGGTTTTTGATATAGGGCACGTACACTCACCAGAAAGACAGAGAGAGAGAGACAGAGAGACAGAACGAGAAATCACCCCCCAGGGGGGATGGCCGTGCCACAATCCCTTCTCCTCCATTCTCCTCTCGGGATCTTGGGCACGCACGCACATGTGCCTGGCGTGAGTTTAAGCCACCAGGTTCAGGACTCAAACCATGGTCGACTACGTGGGAGTCCAGCAACATAGCCATTACGCTAACTGCTGGTCCCTTAATCACTTTTGACACTATGCTTTTCCCTTCATTATTCAGGTGATTAGGAGTTAACTGTAATTTATAAAATTGAATAATACTTAGCTGTGTTTGAAAGTATTGATGCATTGTTTCATCTTTGCTTAAAGGCTAAGAGGTGAAGGTGATTAAATCAACTGATAGATTTTTTTTTTACTTTGTATGGTGTGGAAAAAGTAAGCATGCCCAGATGTCTTAGGGGCTGAAATAAGTGGTGGCAGTCTTAGATTGCATGCCTTATCTGAAGCAGGCAGCCAGTAGTCAGTTCCAGCAGCTTGCGTCATGTAATATGAGTCCACTGCTCCCAGATACCTGACAAGCTGGCAATGCAGGTTTTTGTAGGAAGTCTTTCGGCTTTTAAATGTTGGCAACTAACTTAAAATTTTAAATACTGTGCAGAACATTAGGAAGTCAGGTCTATCCTCCCAGCTACTAGTGTGAGACCACCGGACCATGGTTTGTACTTGCTGCCTCTGTTCATGCGGTTGCATCAGTATTTCTGATAAGCTGATTTAGCACAGCCACTTGACTTGAATTCCAGTGTTACTTTCATGTTACCTATTAAGTACAAGTATGTAATATAAATACAGCTTTTTTCTCTTAAATAATTATAGGTCGCTTGGGAGACCCTACAAGAAGAATTTTCTCGCTTCATGACAGAACCAAAAGGAAAAGAACATGATGATATATTTGATAAACTTAAAGAGGCTGTTAAGGAAGAAAGTATTAAACGCCATAAGTGGAATGACTTTGCGGAAGACAGCTTGGTATGTCATTTATATGTTAGGGTGTCAGCCTCATATTTTTATATAATTTCTCTGATAATGCTGTATGACTATTTAAATTACATGCCAAAGTTGATTTACAATCGTAAATTTTGCCCTTGATCAATTCTCTGCCCTTCTAAAAAATGACCTTTTGCTACTTCTTATCACTTCTGGAAAAAAGGCAAACTTTGTAATGAACAATGTCCCATAAACTTCTATAAATTGACATTTATTTGCCATTTCATTTGCCTATCTGTTGGTAGCTGCTTTTAATTTCACCCTCTGTGGCAACAAAAGGATCTGGATGCATTGGTTTTCAATGGATGGAAGCACAAAATGTTAGACTCTAAAATCATAACCCTAACTGCCATGTATTGAATGCCTCCTAGGCACCAGAAACTCTTAAGTTTTTTGCAAGCATTATTTGATTCAATTCTTAAAGCAGTTCTATTGTTGCCATTGGAGGAGCTGGGATTCAAGCCCTGCTGTCAGACTACAAAGCCTGGCTCCTGACCTCCACCACCTGAGAAATCTTTTGTTATGTAGAACATTCCCACCACCCATAATCAAACTTTTATTAAGCACCTGCTCTGCTCAGAGTTGTGAGTAAAGCTGTTGAATAACAGGATTGAGCAATTTCGGAGGAAAATACTTGTTGTAGTATGGGCTGGTTGTAATTATAATTTGGTTTTCAAGAAAAGTTTGTCTTCATGTTTGAAAAACATTTTTCTTAAATGACTTACTAAGACTGGCCATCTGAGAGGATGGTACCATTTTTATTCATTCACTCAAAAATTAAAAGATTCAGAAACCAATTTTCAATTGTAATGAATAACATTTAAGAATGTCTAGACCTTCTAAGTATCTACCCTGTTACTTTTTTCACTACTATAAACAGTTAAAATAATGCTATTTTTTTTCTTTCTTTTTTGAAAATGCTAACACATAGGTCATATGGAAGAAAGGAGAGGTGGAGGTGATCTGAATTATTAACCCCAAAATATTAGGGTTCTATAGTTGAATGTGTGATATACCTCTCTCTTTCGCTCCCTCACTCTCTCTCTTACTCAGAGATGGTTATCTTGTTTCATTTGGGTTAGGAGAGAATATCTATTCACTTTTCATATTTTAGGTAGAAAGCTGACAAACAGGCAAAAAAAAGGGGAGCCTACATTTATGAGAGGGACATACTTTCATGTTTTAGATAAATCTGTTACTTGTGATATTTACTAATCTGTGAGTATGAATAGTTATTAAGATGATAAGACATTAGGACCAGCAGATGGCGTAATGGGTACATTGCTGAACTCCCGTATGGCCAACCACGGTTCAAGTCCTGGACCAGGAGCTTCAAACTCACACTGCTGCAGTGCATGCCCAAAATCCTGAGAGGAGAAGGGAGTGCCATGTGACCATCCCCCAGGGGAATAATTTCTTACTCCCTGTCTCTCTGTCTCTCTCTCTCTCCAGGGAGCACCTGAACCCTATAGCAAAAATTTCTCTTAAAAAAAATAAGGTGTAAATTAGCATTTTCTTTCCTTGTTATTTCAGAGGGTTATTCAACATAATGCTTTAGAAGACCGGTCCATATCTGATAAACAGCAGTGGGATGCAGCTATTTATTTTATGGAAGAGGCTCTTCAGGCTCGTCTCAAGGATAGTAAGTAGGGACACAGGTTTTTGAGTTCTGAGTATTCACTGTGATGGAGTGACCCAGTGTTAGTATTTGTAAAAACGATAATGAACATTGCAAGATTATAGTCCTTAATACTACAAGTGAGTACCGCTTATGGGATGTTTTTCAGCCAACTGGGTTGTAATTACTAAGAAAAATAAGTTGAAAACATGCTCGTGTGTACTCATTCTAAAGAGGTATAATTCAAAATATTTTAGCTCTGTGATTATAGAAATTTTATAAGCAATTGTACTTTTTGTACATTATTCTTTATTATACGTGGCATCTTAGTCATACAATTTTTTTTCATTTCAACTGACTTCATGCTGATAAAGCATTTTGAAGTAGTTATAAAAGCAAGACCTTTATCACTTATAACTTATGTACTGTAAGTGATAAAATTTTTGGTGAATTAATCTGTTTCTTTGTTTGTTTGTTTGTTTGTTTAATTTTCTAGCTGAAAATGCAATTGAAAACATGGTAGGTCCCGATTGGAAAAAGAGGTGGTTATACTGGAAGAACCGGACTCAAGAACAGGTAAAAGCAAAGAAATAGCTGATTGGTAATTTTGTTCATTTTCAGAATTTCAGATGTCTTATCTCAGCAGCCTGTCTAAACTTAACGAATCTTTAGACTAAAGAATAAACTGATACGTAAGAAAGTGTTCTTAAAAAGTGCAGCAGCTGTGTTATTAAAGAAAAGAGGTACGAAACATGCTTCTTTATGATTATTCTGTTCATTTCAATGCCTTGTTTGAGGGAAAAAAGAAAGAAGATGCTTAAAGTTATGAATAGAAAAAAAATGGCAGGGTTTCAGAGGATGTACAGTGAGTGGTACGGGAGAAGAGTATAGTGATTATTGTTACATTATTTCTGGATTTTTCTGTTGATCATCTATGCAGATTACTTGGTTCTTTCATACTTTTTATTTCTGTGTTCACAAAGTATAAATATTCAGACCAAAAGTAGAATTTATAGGCTTTATTCTTTTAGTAAGCATTTGAGATGAATAAAATGGTAAAGTTAAGTATAAAAATTTGTTTAAATGAGTAAACAGCAAGAAAATATATAAATCATTAAAGAGCTCACTTTGCCTCCTTTTTATTCCTTACTTGTTCTTAGGACTTCTTTGCTTTCTAGCATTTACTCTGATACCACAGTCTCCTTTTTATGTTTATTCCCTAAATTAAAGAGCCTATAGAGGGACCAGCAGTTAGCGTAATGGCTATGTCGCTGGACTCCCACGTAGTCGACCGCGGTTCGAGTCCCGGACCCAGTGGCTTAAACTCACGCTGGGCACATGTGTGTGTGTGCCCAAGATCCCGAGAGGAGACTGGAGGAGAAGGGATTGTGGCGTGGCCATCCCCCCTGGAGGGGGATTTCTCGCTTTCTCTCTGTCTCTCTGTCTGGCGAGTGCACGCACCTTATAGCAAAAACCTCTTTAAAAAAGCAAAAAAAAAGAGCCTATAGAATAGTATCTAAATTTGAAAGTGAATTCATCACGAATAACAAAAAGAAATGGCAGCCAGTTTACTTTTTTCTTTTTTTTTTTAAGAATTATCTATTTATTTATTTAATTCCATTTGTTATTATTATATTATTATTTTTTAATTTGCCAGGGGCGGGGGGAGTGGGCAAGAAAGCAAGCCACCAGGTCCAGGACTCAAACTGGGGTCGGCCATGTAGGAGTCCAGTGCCCCTTATCACCACACCACCTGCTGGCCCCTTTTTTTGTTTTTTAAATCCTAGAAAGGAGAGCAAGAAATGGAAAACTTGAGAGAAGAGATAAAGGGAATGAAAAATTACCAAGTGACATATGCCTATTTCTTTATTTTTGTTTTTAAATAGTGTTAACTATTTAATTAATACCCTATTTTATTCTATTTTCCCCCATTTCTTGTTTCACAAATTCTCTATCAGATTTGAGTCTCAATTTGACTCAAAAGAGTGAAGAGGCAATCTTCTTCCCTTTTTTTAGTTTTAATTTTTGTAGAAGATGAGTCATTAAGAGACTGAAGAGACGCTGAAGAAGTGGACAGTTAGCGATTAGATCACACACGTGTCCAGGGTGCATCAGTTATCTCTGCTCTACAGAAGGGCTGAGAGAAGGGAGTCTGTCAGAAAAGAATGTCTAGGGGATCCATCAGACAGCAAGGGGCATTGATTAGAAAGAGCTATTGTAAGATAGGTAAATTCAGAAGGAAAATGGTGTCTGGCCATCAGGACTTAGTGGAATTAGGCCTAACCTATGTACAGAACGACAATGACAGAACTTGCCTCTGCAATTAATGGTAAATACACTGTCCACACTGTCTCTGAGAGGAATGATTCCTGGTTATAAGTTATTTTTCTCAGGAGCTTGTACCGTAGGGAATCCCTCCAAGAGAAGCAAAAGAATTAGTTTTGAGGTCAATACAAAGGGTCTGTCAATAGAAGAGGAATCTGGAAACCCTTCAGAGAGGAACTTTCTCCCTCCAGGGTTTCAGGACTGTGTGGTAAGACTCAGGCTGACTATAGAGCAGCGGCCATATTTGGAATATGTTTATAGGAAGGACATCAGAATCATCCAGGGAGGTGTTTATATTTATGTTTTATCAGTTATCTCTGCTCTACAGAAGGGCTGAGAGAAGGAAGTCTCAGAAAAGAATTTCTAGGCTGTTCTGACTTGGACAGGAAGGGGCGCAGCTCGTTTCAGACTTAGTCAAGTTCTCCTTCTCTAACCTTTTCACCCTCCCACTTTCAGTTGAAAACACTGTTCTAGACCTCATGCCTGGAGGTTACAGCAAGAAACAGATTCTGGAAGATGCTAAAAATGTCCCCAAGTCTCACATTGCAAGTTTAGGTAGCTGTGTAAAATTTCCTATCTTTCTGAGTGACAGGATTTAATAGGAAAAAAAAAATTGATGACCATCCATTTTAAAAACAAGACATTAATTTTTTGCAAGCTCTTTTGTGCTACTTTTTCCTTAGTTTTCTAGGAAAATCACTCTCTGAAACATTCTTACCTTCTCTAAGCTAAACTCACAGAAATTCAGGCAAGATGGATGGGAGAGTAGATCTGCCTGAAAGCCAGGTGTGGTGATTTTCAGAGACTTCCCTCCTACTTCAGTCTGGATAGCAAATATTTAAACAGCGAAATTTCTCTTTGTTAAGTAAGGGTTTTTGTTTTTTTTTTTTTTCACTAACATGTGATGTGGTCAAAGAACACTAGTAAATTATATGCATTTAAGTGTTATTTTATAGATATTCAAGATTCCATTTAAGTAGTAGTTTGAGACAAAGTTCTTTTTAATACCTTGTTTAGAATAATAAGTGAATTTGATGACAGTTATGTGTATAGTGTGATTTTGAATAAAGAATTTTAAAATGGCAACATTAATTTGACACAGTATAAGAGTCTTGCTTTTAAACTTACAACTAGTACATGCATGTTTGCCTGCTTTGGTGAAGATATTGTGAACGGTTATGGAGAAGAGCTGGAAGAAGATCTAGGAATGATAGACTAAGCTTGTGTCACCTACGCAGTACGAACATATTTACTAAATTTGCGACTGTTTGTCCAAGTGCCAAATTACAACCCATCTAAACATAATCCTCTTTTAATCATTTTGAAGTGTGTTCACAATGAAACTAAGAACGAACTGGAGAAGATGTTGAAATGTAACGAGGAGCACCCTGCTTATCTTGCAAGTGATGAGATAACTACAGTCCGCAAGAACCTTGAGTCCCGAGGAGTAGATGTGGATCCAAGCCTGGTAATATGCATGGCCCAAGAGCATGAGTCTGTTCCTTAATCTTCGTGTCTTGTAGAAAAATGTCACCATGCCTAATGTGTTCCTTAAATATTTAAGTGCTTGACTTGTCTAATCTTCTGTATGTTTGCTTACATTAAACACTTAGTCATTTTGATTGTGTGAGGAGAAGTTGTATTCTCAGTATTTTTAAGGTTTAATTTGTGAGTAGGGAAATGGAGTCTTAGTAAATTGGATTTACTTTGGCAAGTTCAACAGTTACTTGCAAAAGGGGATGAAACCCACCCAGACCCCTGTACCACATCACACTGTTTCAGACTGTAAAATAGGATTTCTGTTTAATTATGACTCATACATGTATACACATGCATGTATATAAGATGTACATGTGTAAACATATATATTCTTCATATGTGTTCGTGTAGCTAAATGTGACTCAGTCAGGTATAAGCTAGAAAGAGTATGAATTTAAGATTTTTTAAGCTGGATAAGACCTTTGGGTTCTGTCTCATTTTCTTCATTTATAGTAAATATGAGGGTATAAACAGTATATACTTCAGGCTACTTTTTGCTTACTTTCATGATACTTATTTGAGACAAATTAAAAAATAAACAAACAAAATCATGTTTCTGTGCGGGGTCCCCCTGCTTAGTTAGGATGTAAAGGATTTGAAAGCTCTGTTAGCTTAATAAGCGTATGATTAACTGAGACACAATTGGAAGAGTAAATCTAGTAGAGAAGGCAATCACATAAAGAATTTCAGAGCCACACACAAATTCCTTTAAAGATTATCTGATATTGGAACCAGCTGATGGCGTAATGGCTACATCGCTGGACCTCCATGTGGTTGACCACGGTTGGAGCCCTGGACCCCATGACTTAAACTCACTCTAGACACGTGTGTGTGCATGCCCGAGATCCCAAGAGAAAAATGGAGATGGGATTGTGGCATGGCCATCCGCCCTGGGGGGGTGATTTCTCACTTTCTGTCTTCCTGTCTCTCTCTTTCTGGTGAGTGCACGTGCTTTATAGCAAAAACCTCTCCCAAAAAAAAGATTATCAGATATTTATCTGATATTTATGTTACTGTACTTGGGGAAGAGTATACTTATTTTAAATTTTAGCAGAGGTCAGAACAAGAAAGAAAATGGGTAAAACTCAAAGCATTTAAAGCTATTAAACATCTAGCATTATTTACAAATTCAAAATGTGATTAAAACTAAGGATTATGTGGTATTTTTAGGTGAATACAGACTTAATATATCCACTTGAGTCATATAGCTCATTAAGTCATATTCAGTTTGATTCTTTTGAACCTTATGTGGCTGTTAGTGTTGACACTTTGATTAATACGATAGCAGGAACTGTCGAAAGTGGAATAGAAGAGGTTATGCAATTTTTTTAAAGCCTTTGCTAGTATCTTTGAATATGAATCGGCTGTAAATCTTCATTACTTTTTGTAAGTAAAAAAAAAAAAAATCTCAGTTTATTTTAGGTGATTCTTTGTCACTTTACAGAGCTGTAAAATAACTACCAAAGTACCAAGAATAGGGATGGAATAGAGGTCAGAAGATGTGAATTCTGTTACAGTTCCGTTACAGTAGCTAGGAGTACGACCTTTATCATGCCTAGTCTCTCTGAGCCCCACTTTTTTTTTTTTAACTTTTCAAATGGCATCTTTTTTAAAATAATTATTTTATTTAACTTTATTTATTTACTTATTTTTCTTTTAATTTGACCAGCAAGGGACACAGAGAGAGGTGAGAAAGCAAGCCGCTAGGTCCAGAACTCAAACTGCAGTTGGCCATGTGGCAGCCCAGCAACCTTAACCATCATGCCACCTGCTGGCCGCCAATGATATCTCAATGATATTTGTTCTACCTACTTAACATTATTGTCATCCTTAAAAAAAAGACAGCAGGTATGAAAGAACATTGAACCTTCTAACAGATTCTGTAGTAAAAAGGTGTCAAGGATCATATTGGTGTGGTAGCAGTGAAATTTAATAGAAATGAAATATCATTGGATTGATAGGTATAGTTTCAGATGACCTTCTTAGCCCTAATTCAGCCTTTAAATAGTGCTTTCAGCTTTTTTCTTTTTTTTTGCCTTGTTTTTATTTATTTTTTTTTTTAAGATTTTTGCCATAGGGCATATGCACTCACCAAAGAGAGGGGAAAAGTGAAAAATCACCCTCCAGAGGGATGGCCACACTGCAGTTCCTTCTCCTCCATCTCCTTGTGGGTTGTATGCATGCACACACATGAGCCCAGTGTTTTTCAAGCTGCTGGGTTCAGGACTTGAATCTCAGAGTTGGTTAGGTAGGACCCAGTGCCTTAACCACTAGTCCACCTGCTGGCCCCTGTTTACTTTTAATTAGAAGATAATTCCCACCCTGTCTATTCTACCCCATAGTTGTTTGAATGTAATAAAGCATTGGTTTAAAACACTACAAATTTTGAATTATATTTATTTCAGAGTAGTAGCAAAGCTAATCTTTGTCTTGGAAAAAAATGTAAGTGAATTAAAATGGTTGATAGAATAATTACATTGCTATTGCTTTTAATTACAGTTTCTTACAGTGGTTAACCAACTTCAAAAATAGACAGTAATTCTGGTTTTTGTTTTCTTTTCTCATTTTAGATTAAGGATACTTGGCATCAAGTTTATAGAAGACATTTCTTAAAAACAGCTCTAAACCATTGTAACCTTTGTCGAAGAGGGTTTTATTACTACCAAAGGCATTTTGTAGATTCTGAGGTAAGCTTTCTGAAAACAAGGAGGAATTTTTTTTCATCAATAGTTGCTTAAAGATGTTTAAAAATAAACTTTAGCTCTGATGTTAAAGTCCTTTGATCATTTGGGGGAATTATGTGTATTTATAAAGAATAACCTAACTCATTTCTTTTCAGTCACATTTGCCACTGTTAGTAATTGCATTTCACATGCATGTCACCCCTAGTACCCATAAAAAATGGGTGTGTGCATAAATGTGAAAAACAAAAATAGTTGGTTATATCCCCTGACCAGAAATAGTTTTAGTTAACATTCTTATGTATTTCTCTGCATAGGGAAGATGTATGTATATTTGTGTGTTTAACCATCTGTTTGTGTAGTGGAAATCACACTGGAGAACAATGTCTATAGTGTTTTTTGTGTGTATCATAATTCTTTTTCATATCACTAAAATCTTTCTTTAAACCTTTCAGAGAACCTGATAAAATACTTGTAGTGAACTATTTTACATTTCATGACACATTTTATAAAGTAGCCCCTAGGTGGCAGCAGGCATGTATTTTGAGCATTTTTTTATAATAAAAAATTATTTTAAATATTCTTTTGTAAAAGATCTGTTAAATCGATTATCTTGTCTAATCGAGACCTCTAAAATACTTTACTTTTCTGCAGCTTAAAATAAATTTCTATTTAAATTCATCTATGTAAACGTGGCAAGTTTCTTGTCATAATTTTAATTGTCAAGACCTCTCTGTAAAATAAATAAATTTTTAAAAATATCTATTTATTTTCACAGATAGCTAAATTGCAAAAATCAGTGGAGTACACACTCAAAGAACAGAGGTTAACTTAAGGTCATATTTGAGATAATCATGGTTTTCTGAAACTCAATACAAACTCAGGGTATATGCTATGAGTTTCCACCTATATATAATTAATAAAAATCCTCTACTTCCCAAGTTTGTTTTGTCATTGGAATCAAAATCATTAAAATAATTATATGGGAGTGGTGAAGACAGAACCCAAATCATGAAGAATTTCATGGATCTATACAGAAAAATTGCTATAGCTTTTTGTCTATAATAGGAATATATGTATTAGGTAAATCTGAGTATTTTTTAGTTAAATAGGATAAGGATCAGGATATGGGTACTGATTTTAATAGTTGTGTGTGTTTATAATTACTTTTTTAAAGTAATCTTAATTACTTACTATTTCAGCTGGAATGCAATGATGTGGTCTTGTTTTGGCGAATACAGCGCATGCTCGCCATCACTGCGAATACTTTACGGCAGCAACTTACAAACACTGAAGGTAAGCCACACAGGGCCTGCTTTCTAATTTCATCATTAAAAATAATAGTAACAGCATCTATTCTTAATAGAAAGATGCCCAAGTACTTCTTTAAAAATAGATTTACTATAATAGAAAAACTAAGAATTTTAATTTTCCTATAAAATATTAATAAAAATAAATCATAATTGAATAAGATGGGAGATATACATAGAGTCTTCCTTCACTACCCAAAACTGGTAGGAATGAACTTCTAACCATCACTTAATTTTGGGAGAGAGATCTATATTTCTATTAAAAGTGTAAGAATATGATATTCTCTTAGCATGCAATTCTTTGACTGTGAGAAGCATGAATTAACAATAGAGCTAGGGCTGACCCCACAATGGTGAGGAGAGCTAGATCCCACATGGCTGACTATGCAAGTCAAATTCTGGTCCTGGCAGCTTGAAAAACACACCAGTTGCATTGCATGCGTGCTGAAAATGCAAGAGAATGGAGAAGTGGAAGTGGAGAAGGGATTGCACGTGACCATGCCCCATCGGAGCGTGCTTTCTCCCTGTCCCTTTCTTTTTCTGGCAAAAAAAAAAAAAAAAACAGTATCTAATATGATGAAAAAACACTATGGTAAATTGTTGTCATCTTTGTGCAGTCATTAAAAACAGCACTTTTCAGATTTCTTATTTACTTTGCACAGTTAGGCGATTAGAGAAAAATGTTAAAGAGGTATTGGAAGATTTTGCTGAAGACAGCGAGAAGAAGGTTAAGTTGCTTACTGGGAAACGAGTCCAGCTGGCCGAAGACCTCAGTGAGTATGCTTCCCACCCTCCGCCTTCCCGCCCTCCGCCTTCCCCTTTTCCAGGTATTTGTTTTTCCATTTCACCTCATACCTACAGAAGAGTATGAGTACCTATAAGGAACATTGTTTTTCTCCGAACTATTTGAGAGTAAGTTGCTGGCCTGAAGTCCCATCACCTCCTCATTTTAACTTTTATTTCCATTTTCTGTCATTTTCCTTTTAGTTTTTTAATGCCACTTTGTATGTTTGTAAAAGGACTACAGTCATGGTTCTTTGACAGGATTATGAGAAGAGACACTACAGCAGGACATGGATGCCCCTGGTTCATAATTTCACCCTAAATTAATGCTGTTACCGAAGCGGTATATCACTGTCATAATATACACAAATATGTTTCCTTCGTATCCCTCAGGATATAATTATCAGACAGTACAATGCCTTGATGAGTTTTACCAGCATATACGTTTTATAAGTAATTGAAAAATGATGTGTCTTTTCTCATGTTTAGTAGTAGAGCCTGAATAACATCATTTTCCAGGCCCAGTTTGGTTCTTTAAGGAAAGTATATTGCTAACTCAAATGCAGATACTGTCATAGCAAGGCTTTTATTCTACTGGTTTTCCTGAGAAAGTAGGCGTGTGACTCCCTTGAAGTGATATACTCCTGTGTACATACGATATTATGGTGGTATTAATGTACCAGATCATGTCCTTGGAAGAGAAGGCTTCACCAGTGACTCAGCTTCCTCAGTCACTCTGAAGGAGATGAGCCGTGACTGGCTCATTAGTTGAAAAGCGTCGACAGAGCGCCTTTTCCATACTGTTTATCTTTATCTAACACTTGGGAATATGGTCATGGGTACTTTCAGGCAAAAAACTTAGAAAGTTTAATAGTTTCTACAGGATCATATGGGTCATGGTTGATAATACAGCAAGTTCAGCTAGAGTGAAGTATGTTGGTTAATTGAGGGTGGAGACAGCAAGACAGTCACGAGTTTGTACTACAGTTTCGAAATTGTACACAGCAGGGTATTGCAAAGAGTGTAAAAATCTTGATACTTTTTTTTTGGTTTGGTTTTGTTTTGTTTTGCCAGTCTCAGACACAATTTTAAATCATTTCACTGCTTTGGAGATTTGCTAATTGTCCTTTAAAATGAGTACATAAGGGATGGTATGCAGTTCTCTCTCATTCTGGAGAACATATACCACATTCACTATTGAAATAAGCCCTGAAGCTAGAGTTAGGAAAATGGAAGAAGGGACCACTCCTGTCTCAGAGGAATCATGGGAAGGGGAGTCATACATAGAAATCAGGACTCCTTGGAGATAAGGAGGAGTTCATAGCTGGAGCAGGGAAAGGACAGGATGACCCCGGGGTGTATACTTTAAGAGGTATACAAAGAAAGAAATGCTTGAGGGATGATGGGGACCTGCCAACAGGACCCAGAGCCTTGAGCAGGCTCCAGCTGGTCAAACCTGGGACAGTCTGGGCATCACAGTCACAAATAGCAATTCATTGAATTAATTAGGAATCCATGAACTGGAAACTATATAAAATAAATTTAAAAAGCCATAAGTGACAAGAAGTTTATTTTATCCCACAAAATATCTCCACAGAAAATTTTTATTAATAAAAACAAGGCAAAGAGTCACCATACAGTGGAGAAACTCAACATATACCCTCAATCAAATGGTCAAAAGTTAGTGTTAGTATTGTAGGATGGTTACATGAAAACCACTCATCCTGTTAAAGAATGCAGAGAAGAACCCAGTATCATTTCTGAGATAGTCTTAATGAAGACACAGCTCTTAAATTCAGTCCTAACAATACGTCAGATAAACCCACATTGAGGCACAGTCTACAAAAACACTGACCAGTCATCAAATGCATCAAGACCCTGGCTGTCCATGTTTAAAGAGAGAGAAACTAAATACAGGCTGTGATCCTGGTGTGGGTGTTCGTGCTCTAGAGGACAGGAATGGAGCTGTCAGGAACCTCTGAGTGGGATCTGAGAGCTCCGTGGTAGTAACACATCAATACTCATTACACATTTGGATTGTCAAATTGGGGTTATTTAGGAAAATACCTTTGTTTGTAGCTAATGCACAATAGAATACTTGGGGGAATGGAGCATAATGACAGGAAATATTTCAGGAAAAACATGTTCTTGGTAGTGTTGCAACTTTTTGGTAAGTCTGAGATTGTTTTCACATAAAAGAGGAAAAAAAGGTTTAATTTTGTTTCAACAACCGATAATCAGGGTCATGCCAAAATTCTTTAGAGAAAATAAGAACTTTTGAAAACATGATCTCTGAAGTCCAAAGACTGAGTTACCTCGTGGACGAGTTAATGAGATCTGCAACTTCTCTTTCTGCCTGGATTCTTTATTTGCACTATCCACCTACACTCAGAACTGTCAAGTTGTAAGTATGCCCATTACGACCTTCATGAAATTCTTTTCAGTTTTGTGGGAAGTTTTATTTCAAAGGATTTTTTTTTTTTTTTTTTTAGGTATCTAAATGTAGTGCCAACTTAGGTGAAATCTGTTTGGATTCCCAGTGTCATTTTTAGTAATATATCCAATCCGTTTATTGAATAGAAATTCTTTGAAGAGGCAAAGATTAGTACATTACAGCTCAATTCAGAGTTGTTCTTTTTATTATGATCTATTTTATGATCTATAAAATCTTTTATGATTGCTAACATTTCACAGGCTTCTGTGGGAATTTCTTCCCAGCATCATCCCACGTGGAAAACCGAGTATCTGGGCACTGGTAGCAATTGCTGGTGATGCT